TCTGAGTGTGGAGACTGGGGACCTGAGTCTGTGTGTCTGAGTGTGGAGACTGGGGACCTGAGTCTGTGTGTCTAAGTGTGGAGACTGGGGACCTGACTGTGCATCTGAGTGTGGAGACTGGGACCTGAGTCTGTGTCTGAGTGTGGAGACTGGGGACCTGAGTCTGTGTCTGAGTGCAGAGACTGGGACCTGATGCTGTGATTGAGTGCAGAGACTGGTGACTTGGCTCTCTTAACCACTGGTTAGCCCATCCACTGGGCAAATGTCTTGTTCAGGACCCTTATAACACAGTAAAGTCCCTAAGGTGATGGCAGTTTACTCTAACAAGGTGAATTAGATTTTAAGTGCTTTTGTCTATTTAAAGTAACTATACTTTTGGCTCGGCGCCTATAGCTCAACCGGCTAAGGCGCCAGCCACGTACACCTAAGGTGGCGGGTTCGAATCCCCAGCCTGGACCCGCCAAACAACAATGACGGCTGCAACCAAAAAATAGCCGGGCGTTGTGGCGGGCGCCTGTGGTCCCAGCTACTTGGGAGGTGGAGGCAGGAGACTCGCTTGAGCCCAGGAGTTGGAGGTTGCTGTGAGCTGTAATGCCACGGCACTCTGCCCAGGGGGATAGCTTGAGGCTCTGTCTCAAAAAAAAAAAATAAATAAATAAAGTAACTATACTTTTATACTTTTTTTGTTTGTTTGTTTTTGAGACAGAGTCTCACTTTGTCACCCTTGATAGAGTGCCATGGTGTCTCAGCTCACAGCCACCTCAAACTCTTGGGCTCAAGCGATTGTCTTGCATCAGCCTCCCGAGTAACTGGGACTATAGGTACCCGCTACAACACCCTGTCATTTTAGAGGCAAGGTCTCGCTCTTGTTCAGGCTTTTCTCAAACTCCTGAGCTCAGGCAACCCATCTGCCTCCACCTCCTAGAGTGCTGCGATTATAGGTGTGAACCACCACACCCAGGCCCTTTTATATTCTTTTAAGTGATTCTACAATGGACCTGCAAAGCCAGAAATCCTATTTTGTTTATTAAAGAATTAAAAATTTTTTTGTTAATTTCTTCTTAGAACAACATACTGAAAAATCAAAGAATTCTAAGTACATTCTCTGCTGAGAGGAAGTCAGTTCTGTCTGAAGAAAAGCAACACTTAACTATTTTCAAGTTTACAATTCGGTGGCACAAACGTGACCTCTATCTAGTTCCAAAACAGTTTCATTTCCCTTACAGAAAACCCTTGCTCAGGAAGGAGCCGTCTGCACTGCCCTCCCCACGTCATTCCCTGGCAGAGTGATTTGCCTTCTGGCTGCATGTGTTGACTTATTCTAGATGCTCATGCAACACACGTGTGTGTCCTTGGCGTCTGGCTCCTTCCCCGTGGGCAGGACGTGCTTAGAGCTCCCCTGTGTTGCAGCCTGTCTCAGCACTCCGTTCCTTTCCAGCTGGGCAGTACTCCGTCATCTGGAGAGACCTCATTTTGTTTATTCAGGCCCATTTTAGTTTTGTTTTCCAGAGTCTAAACTCTTACTAATGTTAAACCACCCCTGACTCTCTCCCTTCACTTCTTTCTTTTCCTTCCTCCCTCCCTCCCTCCATTCCTTCTCTCTCCCTCTCTTTCTTTCTATTATTTACTTATTATTATTATTATTATTATTTTGCAGTTTTTGACCAGGGCTGGGTTTGAACCCACCACCTCCTGTATACAGGGCTGATGCCCTACTTCTTTGAGCCGCAGGCACTGCCCTTATTATATATTTCGTTGTTTTTTTTTTTTTTTTTTTTTTTTTGAGACAGAGCCTCAAGCTGTCCCCCTGGGTAGAGTGCCGTGGCATTAAGCTCACAGCAACCTTCTACTCCTGGGCTCAAGTGAGTCTCCTGCCTCCGCCTCCCGGGTAGCTGGGACCACAGGCGCCTGCCACAACGCCTATTTTTGGTTGCAGCCGTCGTTGTTTTGGCGGGTCCGGGCTGGGGATTCGAACCCGCCACCTTAGGTGTACGTGGCTGGCACCTTAGCCGGTTGAGCTATAGGCGCCGAGCCTATATATTTCTTGATACAGTGTCTTACTCTGTCACCCTGGGTAGAGTGCTATCAGAGCTCACAGCAGCCTCAAACTCTTGTGCTCAAGTGATCCTGTTGTCTCAGCCTCCTGAGTCGCAGCTGGGACTATAGGAGCCCACTACATCACCTGGCTTTTTATTGTTTGTTTAGCAGGCCCTGGACTGGGTTTGAACCCACCAGACCTGGAGCATGAGCTACGGGTGCCCCCTATTTTTTTTTATTTTTTATTATTAGTATTTTTTTTGAGACAGAGTCTTACTTAGTTGCCCTTAATAGAGTGCTGTGGTATCATAGCTCACAGCAACCTCAAACTCTAAGGCTCAAGTGATCCTCTTGCCTCAGCCTCCCAAGTAGCTAGGACTATAGGCGCCCACCACAATGCCTGGCTATTTTTTAGAGATGGGGGTCTCACTCTTGTTTACGCTGGTCTTGAACTCATAAACTCAGGCAATCCACCCGCCCTGGCCTCCCAGACTGCTAGGATTATAGGTGTGAGCCACCATGCCCAACCTCTTTCTTTTTAAAAATTAATACTTCATTTTTTTAAAAATAGTTTTGAGTTGACAGCAAAATTGAATAGAGATTTTTCTGT